TGGTTTCTACATTTTTTGATTAAAAAATTAATTTTATGACTTGCTAACAAGGTTTTCATATATGATCGGACATAATTAATCGTAATATTTCAATGGATCCGTTATACATGATGTGTAGTATTAATTGTGAATACTAACATTTAACAGCCACAATTCGAAATCGTTCGCAGCGGACGGGCGCGGGCGGTGACGTGGGCGGCGAGCTTTTTTCCGCCGCCCCTCGTCCGACCCTCGTGCGCCTTTCACACCCCTAAAATCGTCCGACGCACTAATATGCTCGTCGTGGGCGTACTATACTTTTCTCATTGCCACCGCTGTAATAGTGCTGTATATATACTATAAAATACAATCTATATAAACATTTGCGAGTATAATATGTAAATATGTATATAATTGTAGTACAATATTACAAGCCACGAGTGTTGACAATGACGAACAATAAATCATTTATATTTCAATAATATAATTTATTATTATGGTGATGACAGTGTTACGTTAAAGTATATTTCATTTAATTTATTTGTATACAACACTGTTATAGCATGTGAAGGAGAGTCGACGTTGTTTGTTCTAGATATATCATCGAACTCGAAAAAAGGGCTTCGACGTGTCGGTTAGATCGTAAAATAATGAAATATACGGGCAATAATTGTACATATAAACACAGAGAGATTATAAGCTTATCTACTCGCTTGAAACTTTTCTAAGCGCATTATAGCAATATTGGTGGCGCCTCCGTTTAACGAATCTCGTGATAATATTATGACGCACGACACTGCACGAGCACAGAGACAGCTTTTATGCGAGCACGCGCAATTGAACCAAAAGGTGGCTTGCGGGGATGGTTCTGACACGCGATGACGTTATAAAAATTAAAAACTATGTGTACAGTACCGTTCTGTAGAACGAATAAAAAATTAAAACAAAAGTCGTGCAGAACCAGTGGACCAATCGGACGACCGTCCGTCCAACGATATTATACACGAGCGATCGAACGCGACAAGTAATAAAAAAAAAGGGGCACCTCCTATATATATTATACCGCCTACGCGTGACGAAGTTCGATTTCATTTTTTTTTTTTTGGGGGTCTCTGACGTGTATACAGCATAATATTATGACAGATACTTATTACTCGGCAGTCATGTTTTTACAGCCGAGTAAACTTAAGCCCGAACAGATTAAACGCGACGGCCGTCATATTATGATTATTATTGGACGGACAAGTCCGAACGCTGTGGCGGCAATCAACCAGCGCGACGGACGGGCGCCAAAGTCACAGTGTCCATACACGTATATAATATGACGTGATGATGATGATTATGTGTGGGTATAAGGTACCTCCATAAAATAATACAAGCTACATTTAGGTATATACCGTAGCAGCTGTCGATTAAACCCGTTCAACTAGGCGAGATGTCACGTTACAGAATACACGATGACATATTGTGTGAAATAAACCTGTCGAACAATATAATAATATAACACATTGACGTAATCTAAATATAATGTTGGCGGATTAAAGCGTGCTGAATACAGGACGCGTTATTATCGTCGTGTGACGCATTGGTGATTTCGGGCGCCATTTCGGCGCGTCCTATACTCCCCAAGTTTTGAACTTCCATGCACCGGAGGTCTGACACACATGATGATAACAATGATAATAATAATCATATTTCCCTTGGCTAATCCTGCACCTGTCCGTTATATTAAACAGACGCCATCGAGTCCCGAATATACGGCGCCACCGGGATCATATTCGTTATGCGAGTATTATATATATATATTTATAATATGTTGTGATATGGTTACCTGTACTAATATTATAGTTCGAGAATATATATATATATATAAATGTATTATACAATTTCCAAAGTAATATATATTTTAGATATAATATAATAGTGTTATATCTGACATTGACTGCAGGAAAAAAAATGAACAAACATAAAATTCAGTTCTATCGGTTTTAGTGTACCTCAGTTCCCTAGAAATGGTGTAATTCGACCGAGAAGGCAATCCACCTGTGGCGGATTGGATATAGAACTTGGTATTTTTCTAGCGTTGGCCCTCTAAACTTTCATAATGCATTTATAAAAAATCCCTCAAACTTTTGTAAAAAGTCAGTCGCATAAATGTTGAGTCTATAAACCATAGTCATATGTTAATTGTCTACTACTTTTTAAAGTGTTTTTTTCATTAAAAGGACGTCATACCCACACGTGTTGTCTCCATCTTACAAACGTACAATATGGCAAATTAAATGTTAAAAATAATCCATTTTACACTGTTATTTTTAAAATGAGTATAAATTGATAAATATAGGTTTCAAGGTTTTCGATCAAGGTAAGATTATAATCTAGGGCCTCTCTGAGGATTTTATTGATATTGTTTTTAAGTAAATTATTATCGTTTTAAAATGTTCAGTCTTCGCTCAGAATCATTTTTTGTATACAATAATATAAGAATAGGTGGATAAAGGACTCGAAAGGTCCCGCGAGGGCTAATTTTTATTATTGCCTGAAAAATATAAAAATAAATTATCACCCTACTTACAATAATTATTTTACAAGTCACTACAGTTATTCGAATAAACTAGCTATTTTCAGCACTCATTCTACATACGATGATTATGCATAATGAATTTCGATGAGTTTTACAAAAACTTTTGAAGCTTAAAAATGTATACAACTATAAAAAATACTTTTTTAATGTTTTCAAGATACAGTCCTAAAAAGATAAAAGTTTTACTCAATCATCTAGTAACTGTAAAAGTATTCGAATAGCTTATTTAATAAGCACAATTTCAAGTTACATAAATTACAAAAGTAATGTAGTTAAAAAATATTCCATCATATAGAACGTACAGTTTCTCCGTTCCAATGAAAAAAATAGTACTGGAGCTCCGCCCTCCAGTAGTGTAACCCCCTTCCCCGACAACTCGAAAATGATAAATAACTGATCTTAATCTTCATGATCGGGGTAAATTATAAGTACTTATTCTTTATATTTTGTTTACAAATATTATATACATAGAATTATACTTAAGAGGACGCTATTACACCTTGGCGTATATGCCTTACAAGATATACATAGAGAAAATGTGTGCTCGTCTGAATCCGCTTTTGTTGTTAATTGTAGTATATGGTCCAATATTATATTGTACTTGTAAGAATATTATACAAAGAGTCTATTAAGTTTTTAATTATATTATAAAATACTATAGAGCGAATTATAAGTACTTTAAAATTGCCATATTTTACATAGTTATATACTTGGGTACTTAAGAATTAAAATATCTCGATTGCCCATAGCATGTACATGGAATAAGACTTTTGACGCCCTGCAAATATCTGCGATACCACTTGTCCACAATATCGAGTTTTTTTTATTACTTTCATAATATTCATATTTTTGCTTAGTGTATGAAAAAAAAAAATAAGATATTATATTTCCGATACAAATAATTTTTGAGGGACATCGTCATTAATTTAGTGAGAGGTTCAGATTTATTTTACACCTCCCCATTGCGTTGTGTACAGCGAAAAGCACATTATACGCATATAGAGATGAAGAAAATTGAATTTCGGGGTGGAAAAACAAGTAGGTAATAATAATAATAATAATCATGATCGAAAAGCCCGTTTCTGCAGAACGTTCGGAGTTGGTACCGCCTACCACCGAGGTTGTGGCGAGTGGTTACCTATGCACACCACGGAGGACGGGTAGGTGTGCGCACATATCGTGCGTGTTGGTGTGTAAGTGTGTACTCGTGTGTGTTGCTTCGAATGCGTACAATACGCGTGTGCGTTGTGCGTTTGTCGCGTGCGCACAAGACGTCTGCCAGACCAGCGACGATAAAAACCACACCGACCACCAGAAAGAGGATCACTTCGTCGAACGCAACGGGCTCGATCGCTTGTGATTTTGTGACCATCTCCGAGGTCTTGTCTTCGCTCAGCTCGGGACTTCTGACACTTTTGCCACTTCTGCAGTACTTAACGTTCTTGGTGGTTTGAATTTTTTTTTCCTTTTTCGGACCCACCTCTAACCGAGGGGGTCCTGTGTTTCCACTCCATTTCGTTTTCATTGTTTCAAAATTCCTCCCTCCACGGATTTTCCTCCGCCGGCGGGACCATCAGTAACAGACATTGTCAACGGCGGAGGAGGATTTCCGTTTTCTGCGTCTTACCTGTTCGTGTTAGGTCTCCTACTCGTGTATATATTTTTCATGTTAAGGATCGAAAAACAGAAGCGTCAATACAACTCCGACTCCGACTTGGACGACGACGACGACGACTACAGTTCCGACTACGAGAGCCATCAGTTTAAAAAGTACTACCCATAGTCTTCAAAACAGAATCACTGTGCGTGCGTCTTCCACCAAAAAGACTGTTGGCACTGAGACGGAACCTACTCCTCGAGCGTCAACGGCTGGTTCTACTGAAACGGTCGTTACACCATTACCAAACTAAAGCGGTATAATAATATAATAATATTATTTTATTAACCTTAAGATATATCTATTATAATCATGATATTAATGCTAATTATAATCATAATAAATAATAAGCATCGTCGCTTTGAGAACGGCATTCCCCGAAAATAAAATAAAAAAATATTTCAAATAAAAACTGTACGTTTCTCCCACATCCACCCTCGCGACTTTCATACAAACCCCCTCACCTCGACACCCGTTGCACATGCACGCGCCAGCTGGGCTGCCGTCGTCTCACCGTTCCCATGACTCACACAGACGGTTCTACAGGTGGCAGAGCAGCCAGCCAACGACGACCTTGCCGGGTTGTTTTCGTATCGCTCGCCAACCGCCGTCTTCCGATTTTGCGATATAATAAAGTTTGACGACCTTTGGCGATAATCGATTCGATGTCGTAAGTGACAACCGACGAACTTTATAATAATAATGTGTGCCCCTCCGATAAATGTCATTAGAAAACATATTTTTTACGCGATCGTTTTGCCGCGTTGTAATCGCCGACCGTAAATCGCGTTTTTTATACGGCCGCCGCCATATATAAAACGTTGTATCCAATGACATTGTACTTATTATTGGCATCGCCTCACGTTTAAGCGCCGTGATCGACGGCCACCATATTACAGCGACGCGAGCCACCGGTCGACCGTCGTAATCACCATAGCGCGTCATTGCGAACCGGACGAGCGCGCGCAACCGGTCGTCTTTTGCCGCCGCGTTTTTCTTTCGTGTTTCACGTGATATTTGTGCGTACCGGTACAATACCTTTGGACATGGCGTCGCGGATACAGCCCAAGCAAGCGAGCGCGGCCACCACGGGCGTCGCCTGTCTGGTCGGCGCCGTCGCCTGGATCCTGATCAGCTCCATTTACGTGGGCAACACCGAGGGATGGCCGCAATTCGTGCTCAGCGCATTTGCAGCGGCCACTGTGTGCGCGGTGGCCGCCTCGGCACTGGTGTACGCGGCCTACCAGCAGTACGTGGCCAAGAGGAGCCTGTTCGACGACCACTGCAGCACCGACGAGTTCGATTACGGGTCGACGGGCCAATGGGCTGGTAAGTATATGCGACACTATCTTTTTACTATTATTTTGTTATTGTTATGACCACCATAAACGCGGTCATCATCACTTGACCTTTGATTTTAGTCTATGTTTCCAAAAATTGAGTACTCCGACACCCCCCCCCCTCCCAGACTTCATGGCACCATCCAAAAATATTATCTCAGTAGAGCCAAAATAATTTGTACATCTCGAAATTCGCCGGACCTTCAAGCGCCCCAAATCTGACTTTGAATCTGTTTCAAGTTAATGCGTATACGTATTTATTTGATTTGTGTGATTGCATCTGCGGGACTTGAGACCACAAAGGTCAAATGTTTATACATTATTTATTTAGGATGTTTGCGCGATGCTGATGGCACAAATTATATTCGCTATCGATTTTAACGCGTAAGAAATAATAATATATATTGCATGCCTACACGTACAAAAACTGTGTTACCTACATAACAGATTTTTACGAGCCACGGTGATCAGGTATATCGCTGAACCAGCGGATTCGATCGGATTTTGACGGTACAAATGTCGGCTGCCTTTAAGGCAGATAACATATTAAAATGCGGTGCGCAATTCGTTTGCGTACAACTGTTGTGTTTAATCATAATAATACTACAATAATATTATTGTTGCTGTCAATTTTCACGCATTTAATAATAATAATGAATATTGTTGTTATAATCTCAAGGAATTCACACCGTTGATTGATTGATTTTTTTCTATACGAACCGACGCCTAACAAAACATTAATAAAGGCATAAACATGTGCCGTGTAAAATAATGTGCTTCGTATCATCACTCTCGTAATGGCACGAATTTTGTTTTATCGTTATTATTCAGCTGGTTCACGTCGGATTATTTTTTTTATGGAAAAAATCCCCACCAACGCTCCTTTTCTAACGAATAAATGATTATCGCAAGTAGAACCGATTGCGCGTTATTGTATAGGTATTTAATTATCATTTATCACAATTAATTAATCACAATATACACATCGTTTGGTTATGACTTATGATAACAATATCGGGGTCGTGGTTTTTAAAAATAATAATATTGCACGTGCAGTCGTGCTATAGAAAAAATTATAATATCATAGTTTTTATTAAAAGAACAAAATGACGTAATCTTAACCACCTACTGCACAGTCTCACTAAGTACAGTATCAAATATACAACATATTATGTAGTATTATTATGTGGATAAGCCCGAATAAAGATCTACTGTAAATAAATGATAAAATAATAAAGTTAAAATTAATTATGTTAATCGAATAAGCGGTAGCAAACGATTAACGGCAATCGTATACACACACTGTGTTCGAAATAAGAGTGGTGAGGAGGAGGATAAATAATTTTATATTAAAAATATAAACGATAAAAATGTACGTAAAAGTAAACACTGAATAATAATATTGATAATATGATTTAATAACCACGCAGTTAATAGATCTTTCTCAAAAACCCAGTCACTCTTTATGTGATCTACATATTAATTTTAAAAAGTATATTAACTCTTTTTAAACTGAGTTAAGTTAATATTTTTTTCTGTATTGACTTTTAACTTATCGAGTCAAATTAATGATTTTTTAACTGTAAACTTAAAACTCATCGATCTAGTGTTCTCTTAACTTAACTTAATATGAGTTCATTATTTGCGGTATGTCTAGGTACATTCCGTACAAAATTCCATATTTCCGTAGGTACATTTGGTATAAACTATATATATAATATTAAAATATGGTTAACTCCTTATGGTATACTCGCATTGCACAGGCTATACAGTACAATATAATATGTTCAGTTACAATAACATATAAAATACTAAAATTCCTCAACTCCGTGCCCGGAAATATTCCATGATGACTTTACGTATGAACCATATATATTATATATATATATACACACACAAAAAATGTTTTATAAGTACGAGAGTCAAAATCATAGACATAAAGTAGATATTTCATGTTTTGTTTAAGGACACATAATTATTGTCTTCTTAATATTAATGAAAATGTTTGTTTCAGTAAAAGTATAATAATTATATTTTAAATATTGTAGTTCTTAAATGTTATGACTTATAAGATAAATTTAAATTTATTTTATTAGTGTCGCTGTGGGAAGTAAAAAAAAGAAATTTTCAGATCTAAAAATATCGTATTTTTGTCTATATAGTATTATATTGCTTTTTGCCTTTTTACTTAATATTTTTATTTCGATTGTATTAACCTATATTTACATACATATTTTCGATAACATCGATATTATAGTTATTTGTTTGGTGCTGAAATATTTACGTAACTCTTATTTTTTATATTTTAATCAATTTAATGAGATTTCTGATAATTTCAACGTTTCTTTTTGTTGTTATTGCAACCTAATACATTTTTCAAATTGCGTTTTCAAAATGATTTTAAGCTTACAGTTTGCCGATATATATGATACATATTTTTATTTATTACACATAATATAATATGTCGCATATGAACAAAATATCATATATAGGTATATCACGCACATAATATGTATATCCTCAGTCGGAAAACCGTATAGGACAGTCAGGGAGTACGCGAGTCACATCTATTTTTTGTGAGAAAGTCATAGTTACAGACTCCCTCCCCCCACAAACTCAAACACTATTTGCACCTACGAATGAAGATGAACCGTGGGACGTGGGGCTTAGCCCCTAAACTCAAGCCCTCACTAAAATTATTTATCTTTGAAATCGTAACGTGATAAATATTTTAAGTTCAATAGTTCCCTATATATGTGTCTGCAAATTTGTTCAAAATATCTTCGGTTTATTCAAAACAGTTAACATTGTTTTTTCATTAGTGAGCATTGAAACGTTAACCACTAAAACTTTTTCATACACCTATTGAATGTATTGGGAAATAATGAAAATATTTTAGTAACGAATGTACCTAGGTAGGTTACTGCAAAAGTTAAATATTATTATTAATTATTATTCAACTTTACTCTGCCAACGGCCGCCAAACACAAACTGGCAAACATTTTTTTTTTCATCTTGCTCAATGTATTGTTTTTCCTTATAGTCCTTATTTTTTTCCCCTTCACTTTCCCAATCCAGCCTATGAAGACGGTATTATAATACAATATATTCATATCATTTCAGTGGTCACCGGCGCCACTGACGGCATCGGCAAGGAGTACGCGCGTCAGGTGAGTGACAGCGATGGTGCTGCCGACAATGGAGGACCGGTGGCGGTGGCTTCGGCGCGTAACTCGCTCGTCGACTAACCAACGCGTCATTATATCGCGAAAAAAAGACATTTTCAATAGTTTAGTTACAGTAGTTACAGTAGTTATTAACTCAAACAACTAGTGTGACGTGTCGTCTAACTACGACACGGCATATTTATTGTGTGTGCATTCTTGTAGTGGCGTGTTTATTTATCAAGTAGGTACCTGGTGGACGATGTTATGTTTCACATTTTGTCTTACAATATTAAAAGAAACAAAAAAAAAAAAATTCAAAAAAAATTACCAAAATTTTGTATCTTGCGCACTACTCTTATACTCTACCTTCTAACTTATAATAATTTAATTTGGGCTGCTTGTTTTTGTCTTTTTATTTCTCAAATAAGTTTATGAACTCCAACTTTTTTCATTCATTTTTAAATATAGAAACTTTTTCTTGTCCCAAACACTATTTGTTAGTTTGCACGTATACTACATAATCTTATTCTTCGTGGTTTTCCTTTAATTTTAGTCAATAGCCACACCTTGTTATTCGTCATAATACAATTATTTCTTGATCAAATATCCTACATATATTCCAGCTTATAAAGCGGCCATTTATCAAAAATTATAATTTTATTTATCTTGGTAGTATTGCATTTATTTATTATAATTTTTTACTATCTGATCTTCCTTCGATTACAATTGTCACCAATAAATAATAATTATTCTAGAGAATTATTTAGTAGAATTTCAATTAAATAATTAATATTTTTCTTGGCCAGTATGTGAATGTATTTAATAGGTATATTATTCCGTACACGTTCTTCATACAAAGCTATTATTTATCTTAATTTAGACTTTCATTAGAATATATTCTTCTACTGATCTGTGACCGCTCTTCCTTTAAAGTGTTTGTTTATCTTCACTAAAAAAATTTTATTTCTTATATCAAATGTCTTTTTAATTTTTTTTCTTCTCTCTGAAAAAGTATTTATATTAAACTGTGACTACTTTACTTATTTAAAGCACATATTTTTCTTCTATTAGCACTCTCTTCATTTGGCACTTTCTCTTCAAAGGTCATTTTAGCACTTATTTATCTTCATTTAGCACATTCTCTATATTATACGCTTTTTCTCTATGCATTGTCTTTAATTATAATTGTCACTTATAAAATTAATATTTCATGCATCAAATGTCTTATTAATTAATTTATGTTCTTCGCTAATTGTTTTACATTGATCTATAACCGCTCTTCCTATTAAGTGCTTATTTATCTTTACTAAAAAAATATTATTTCTTATAACAAATGTCTTTTTAAATTTTTTTCTTCTCTCTGAAAAAGATTTTATACTGAACTGTGACCACTTTACCTATTTAAAGCACACATTTTTCTTCCATTAGCACTCTCTTCATTTGGTACTTTCTCTTCTAAGGCCATTTCAGCACATATTTATCTCCATTTAGCACATTCTCTATATTATACGCTTTTCTTCTTTGCATTTTCTTCAATTATAATCGTCTCTAATAAAAATTAATATTTCTTATATCCAAAGTCCTATTCATTTTTCTTTCCTCTCAATAATGTTTTTATATTGATCTATGGCCGCTTATTTCTTTTTCGCTTATCTTTATTTATAACTTTCTCTATATAGGTACTCTTCTCCTTTTTGGTCACTATTTTCATTTATGTTTCTATTTAAAATATATTATATTACATTATTATATTATGCTACAAAAAAATACAAAAAAAAAATGTATAATATAATATAGGTATACAAATATAAAATTTTTTTTTTTAATTTGTTGAGATCTATACCTTTTCGCGGGGAACAACAAATACGTTAGGTCGGCAGATGCTACCATGATAACACGCCACTGCAGTTGCAATTCATACTTTTTAAATATAATTTACATTAATTCATGGTGATGGTAATGGTGCGTGTAAAATAATACCAATGTTGATTATATTGTGTGCGTTAAATCTGTGTCGGTGTCACTCAATTTCGTTGTGCGCGAGTGCGTGTGACCAAACTTTATAAAAACATCGACAATAGGTATAGTAATACTTTATAAATAATTTTTAATTTTGTCGTTCGTTGCCTTCGGTGTCGGGAAATCTATTGCCCCTCAATTACACCATCATTTCATAAAGGACTAACTCAACACACGTATGTATATTATTATAATATAATCTATAACATTTGTATGTTTTATATTCATAGTTAAATAATAAATATAGCAAGATTAAATAAAATTATTAATTGGGATAAAGTGTTCAATAAATCTAGAAACATAATTGTATTTCTATTTTTGAAAAAAAAAACAAGTTTTCATACAAATGTAGATATTTTTATATTTTCTATACCAGTATCACACGTGTAAAAATATAATATTATGATCTTTTCACTTCTCGTCACTAATGACAGTCTTTATAATAGTTAATTGACTCATGAGTCATGGTCATCTTATTTTTATCTTGCGATAGGATTTTTTGGTGCATATCTGCACTGATGCATATTTGTGTGTTTATTTAGAGTTATCATATGTCTCCAAGCTTAAATTAGTAAATACTATTAAAATGTATGATCGTTTATTTAATACTTTTATTATTATTATTTCGTATTCCGTGCGAGCAGTTGGCCATCGACCATGGGATGGACGTGCTGCTGGTTGGCCGAAACAAGGACAAGCTGCGAGCCGTTGCCGGACTGATAAGTAAGTGTCATGAATAATATTATACAGCCAGATAACGATAACTATTATTATTACTATTATTATATTATTACCACAGTAGTTGACATGAAGAACGGGTTGTTTGTCTTTTTTTCGAGTTTACACTTAATTTATAATTTAATTTACGAACGTAGGTCACGCAAAACGTCACTGCGGGATGTATCATTTTATTCGCTTCTTGGCACATTTTTCTAAAAGACTGTCCATTAGTTTTCACTTCTCCAGCTATTATTGATGTAGTAATATAAATAAAATGTGAAACGCCGGCCTAGTACTAAAATCATTTACTGATCGTCGTTTATGCCTTTGTTTGTTAAGCTTGGTATATTTTCGAAGAGCGTCTATATACAGGGCTAAAGACAAAACAAGTCACTAAACACTCATAGAGTAATAATAATAACAATAACAATCACAATAATTGTAATAATTATAGCAAATATTATAACATTAATAACTAATAATAGTGGGTAATAACAATACAAGTACCTGTACAACATATTTTTGCATTTGTATGCGTTTTGCCCAATATCAAATACTTACACAAATTTATCGTACCTAACTATTGTCAACTGCATACATCTCTTCCACCAAATTTAACGTTATTTTTAGAAATACAACTTCACAATTGAAAATAATAGGTAATTTAATTTTGGAATTTGTAAATCAGTATTTAATTTTTGGCTAATTTTCAAAAATGCTTTTAATTTTTTTCTTAATATTTACTTACCGGTCTCTAATATTGCAAATGATGGCACGACACTCTAAACTGCAAGATCCGGGACTGTGAAATTTCTGTCACTGTGGGTCTTTAGTTAAAACTTAAAATCATATTTTAACTCAATAAATGCATAATAATCATGTTCTATTATTACCAAACACCTGCACTAAATCGTAAAAAAAAAATAACTTAATTAAATATTAACTATATAGAGCCTACTACCTAGTACATAATATTAGGTTATATCGATACCTACAGGCTGGATGAATACCTAGATGAGAGAAATGAATACAAAATTAAAATTATTTTTGAGGTCATATAATATTATAATACGTATTATATCTATACTTAGTTCAAAATTCGAATAAAAATGGAATACATGGAGCATTATTGACATAAGGTTTTCCTCTTTCAATTCAAAAATAATCAATTTTTATCTCAAATATTAACTAGCGTAGTAAAAAAGGATGAAGGTTTTCCAATAACACACGCCAGTAGGTATATATTATAATACATGTACTTACGCTGGACAGTTGGAATGAGTAATGTTTGTGTAACGTCCTCGTTAAATGTGGGTGCGGCATGAGCAATTTTAACAAAAATATAAATATTTATTGAAAACGAAAATCGGACAATAAAGATATCCATTATTATTTTTATACTATTTTTAGTTATGTAGCACACTCTTAATGTAAGTATTCAAAATCATGCTTTCAAACTTTTGCAAATGTAGGATGACTTCAGTTGTCGTAGAAAATTGTATACAAACAACGTTTTTTCTCAAAAAATAATGTCGATAACTTATGCTAAATGTTACAGTTGGATATTTTTAGTTTATAATGTATTTTTGCATATCCTATATACTTTCAAAAAGTATATGGAACATTCTGTGAATTCAAATTGTGAATATGTTATAGTATTTATAAAAGTCATTAACCATTGCAGTCGATAGATTCCACTGAAATTGTATGCCTAAATATTGGTTTTTTAATAATGTTACTTGTTTGCATTTTTAATGCTGTATCCGATTCTAAAAAAAAAAATAATAATAATACAACAACTGCAATTTTTGTTTTGGCTTATTAAATAATGCATTACAAACATGTTCACCATAATATTTAAAAAAAAATTGACAACTCAAGACCCAAAAGAATTAAATTAAAATGGTTTTTCCAATCATTCTATTCAAATTACCTAATATATGGGATTACACATAATATTTATAATATAATATATAGGTATAAGTATCTTTAGTATATATTATACCCAAAATGTTATGAAATTATTTATATAGCCTTTTTTTACTTTTCGTGTAATATTTTTTAATGCTGTTAAATGTTAAGAAAATATTGTTGTTATTATTCCCTCGAGAAATATTTTAAGTATTCATAAATACGCCTTTGGCATGATAATATTTTCTCAAAGGATAATATTTTAATTAATTTATATACATTGACTAGGTTTTAATATAACATAAATAAAACATATAAATATTTTATAATGTATTAATACAAACGCTAAAAAATATATGATATAAGAGTTTGTGTGGAAATGTAAAAATTCTTTACTCTTTACATTAAGTAAACATTTTCTAAAAATATCATGGAAATTCGAAAAACAAGTCCTTTGATGTAAAATCTTAGTTAAATTGTCAATCATGAATGTTGCTGCCAGAATCCTTTTGAGTTCTTTTGTCGCTTCAAGAATGCTGTATAGGTGCTCATAGCAAAACCAATATATTTTTATTTTTTGCAAAACTCAAAAAAATAAAGTCTAAACTTTCGGTTAACAATGCGATTAAGGTGCTAAAAATTAAAAACTTAGGTTTTAACAGGTCTTCAAAAAATTTGTTTCAACTCCTGTCGGTCTATAATAATATGCTAATGAATTTTTTGACGCACGCGCAGGAAAAGAATCAGCCGGTCGGCGGCGGGTGATGACGGTAGTGGCAGACTTTTCGGAAGATCCAGTGGCGCGTTACGGGACGGTCGTCGACTTGGGAGAGCCGGAAGATGGCGACGGCGGCGACCGGCCAGAACAGCGGGAAGGTGACCAGGATGACGATGTGGGCGACAGGTGTTTCTGCGACAGGGACGGACAGCGGCCGGCCCGTCGCCAGTGCCCCCTATGGTATCGGCGGCTGAGGGCCATGGTCGAGGGCCGGTTACAGGCGGACGGCGGGGTGGGCGTGCTCGTGAACTGCGCAGGCGCGTGTTATCCGCATCCTGAGTTCTTCGCCGGTATGACAGCTGACGGTAATCCCGGAGCCGGAGACGGTGACGGACCAGTGCAGTTCACTGCCGACTATTGCAGCAATGCAGACGTGGCCGTCCGGTGCAACGTGGCAGGGGCGGTGCACGCTTGCCGTCTTGTACTGCCCGGCATGTTGGCTCGTGGACGGGGCCTGGTGATCAACGTGGGCAGTGCATCAGCGTCCATGCCACCGGCCATGCCACTGATGGCCTTGTATGCCGCCACTAAGGTAAATAAAAGTATGATATAATTCTGTATGACTGCAGTGCCATCAGAAGCACTTTGACTCATTCGAAGGACGAAAATTTATTTAATCACAGAATAATATGACTTTTTTAAAACCAGACTGGCCCACTGGCTCTAACACTGATGAAAAAGTTTTCGGATGAACAAAATTGTTTTGAAATATTGCACTAAGTAGTCCAAAAAGATTTCATTAAACAATTGAGTTGTGAATTTAGCTGTGCCCCTTTTGATTTTGATTACACAGTGTACCTATTTGTGTATTAGGTACAACTGTCGATGTTGGTATTAATTGGCCATTCCTACGTTAATTGAGTCACCAACAACTATAAAATAATATTATTAAACATTATAGGTACCTATACAAAATACTAAATCAATTTTCTTTTGTAATACTACGTTACATAATTTTATAATTTATTGGTGCATCCCCTTCGTTAAGTTTATAATATTTCCGCAGCCTTTCGAAAAGTTATTAAAATGTCCATTATTTAATGTATATATTATACTTTTCAAACTATAAAAATGTCCTTACCACATAAGACTATTATAGCTAGAGGATATTTGATTGATGATACCTTGTCCACCCAAGAAGTATTATATTATAGTCTTTTTAAGTATGAACAAAATAAAATGACATTTTCACGCACACACACACACAACGGCATGTCTTGCTAAAATATCGTAACTGGCTTATAATATTATTAGAATATCGGCTTTGACTTACCGATCAATCACTCCAAAAATATATCTACATAATAAGTATAATCTACACCTCTATATGACCACCGACGTATAACTTTAATAATAATACTATTGCGCCAGCTTTGGCGAGAACTGACCGAAATTGACTGTAACACGCACGACGTAAGCCCATAACTTGTTTAGAAATTCCTGGAAAAGCTGTCTTCCGACCTGGACGCCGAATGTGCGTACTTGACCAGGGGGCGTGAAGATGGAAATGATGGTCACGGAGTCCGGGTGCAGTGCGCCCGACCCGCGTACGTGGCCACGGCCATGTTGCGATCTGCCAATCCGGACGTCCGCGTTGTACCCGGTTCCGGTTCCGAGGACGAAGAGGAGGACGACGACGACGACAACTACGGCGACGGCTGCTGGTGGGCTTCCAGGAGAAAGCAAGTGGAGGACCGTGTCCAGCGGTGGCTAGTGCCGTCGGCTCGTCGTTGGGTTCGGTCCGCGTTACGGCAAGGAGGCAGACTATATGCCCGTGGCCCGAATTCGGGGCCCGCCAACTACACTGGGTACTGGCCTCACACTTTGATGGTAAGTACCTTTGCCTATGATATCAATTTATGTGGTATACAGGTGCGATCTAGACGTTGCAGACTTTTGCTTGTCAAAATGTTTGCAGCCGTTTTTAAAACATCACCATTAGGCCTATAATATGCATACTTGGAGGTTAAAGCAGTATACATTTATACTTGTACTAATTATACTACTACTTATAGCACTTCTATCAGTGCCTATACTTATATTGTAGGTGGGATTTAAAATATAAATAACTAGAAATGACACTTCTAGACTTTCCTCTTTACATTTTGATGGGAAATTATAAATTATTGTTGTTATTAACACAATATGTCGATTAGGACTTTTAATCTATTTCGTGGTTGTTATTTACATAAATGACTACCTACTTATATTATTCCATATCAAAACTATACTTTCACTGTTATTGATTGTTTTTATAATAAAACATAATAGTAAATTATTGTTATCAATTTGTTCTTGCTCGCGGTAGTAACGGTAAATTTCCGACCTGCTCAGTTAAAATGTAATTGAAACATAAAAAGTTTTTGAAAATATGAACCCAAAATCAGATTTAGAAGTTTTATTTTTGACGAACCGAAGACAGTGTTAAAAAAAAAATATCAAAGGATAATGCATACCTTACACTCTCCCTCCTGCCATGTAATATTACCTTGCTGGTGGTAAGTGAGTAGGTATTATAACTGTGACGTAACAATATGGGGGACGGATCGCCTACACCCGGACGAGAGTTTCGATTATCAATGAAATATAAGTTTTTTTAATTCGTTAAATGCATTAGGTACAATAGGTACATAATATATTTGTTTTCTTGTAAATCGTTTGCGTTGGCCAAAAACAAAATGTGTCCGTCGATATCGGTTGACGGAAGACCGCATTGGAAAAGATTAAAGAACAACGCCCTGAATCGTTTGAACTACTTAAAAAGCTATAAAATTTGTAGCTCATGTGATTAAGTCTAATGGAAAAAAAGTTTACTTAACGATATACGATATAATATGTTCGGTGACGAGTTTTCAGGTGGTCCGCGGAATAGTTCGTTCCCGAGCCAAAATGTTGAAGTCACGCCACTGGTAGTAGGTTTAGTAGGCTGTAGTAGTGGACTTTGTCTTCCAGCTTAGTAATTATTAGTAGCTGGCAACAATAATAAGAAAAAAATGTGAGCAGTGTGGCTGCAGGCAAACGTCTCTATAGCCGTGTATAGATATATATATTATTATTACCGTATATTCAATATTGTATGTAGTATTTTCGTGCTTAAGTGTATAGGTACCCATAGGTATGGTTTTAATGGATTTTGTCGAAACCTTTTGTCGCTAACAATATTTTTATTCCTTTTTTATTTTTATTATTATTAGAAATACTTCTCGGCAGGCGTCAGCTGGAGTCGTTGGCTAGTTTTAGTATTTGCTATTTGTTAATGAATTGCGTACTCGGGACATTTCTTTAACAATTTTATTTTACAGTAATTTATGTTTATATTTTTAATTTAGGTTTCATTTAATTTTTTAAAGGTTGTATTCGTTTATAAATTTCTTTGTTGACAATATTTTACTGCGGCAAATATTTATAAGTATTGAGCTTACCGGCTACCGCTATGGTACTATACTCAAGTAAAACATGGAATACATGCAAATAATCATCACACATTTAGGCCAAATAAAATGTTAAAATCGTTTTAGTAATTCAGTGTAGGGTGTATAGTTTTTGAAACATAAATAATATACAAGGTGTTCGGAAAATTTGGAAACGCATTTACTACTGTTCGAATATTTTTATACATATTGCAATAATAGATAACACTGCTAAAAATGTATTAGTTAAAATATTTAATCACCCACTCATTAATTATATCATATCATCGATAATCAGTCCTAGTTAGTGTGATGACCGTTTTCAAATTGCTTAAGCACGCTGCATAGTATAGGTACAAAAATTACCATTTAGCATAAATAGATAATAAAATATTATAGCATATAACACAAATAAATAATATATTTGAAAATGTTTCATCATATTCTATAATAATTAATAACTGTGCTTTGAAAAAAAAATCGTGTTTAATATTACATATTCTCCATATTTATAACAATAATGTTTGCCTATTTGCTGCCAGAGAAAAGAACGGTGACACTTTATCTGATGAGAGTACGTCTTGTTCGTCATGTGAATTTAGAAATATTTGTAGTAGTAGAATGATTATAGACATTAATCATATGCATATCTCTAATGTGTGAAATCAATGCAGCAGACAAAAAAAAAGTGAGTGATCGCGCCGGTTGACTACTTATTTTTGTCATAATTTCCTTCTCCAACTCAAATCTTCATGTCATATTTATTCGTATTATCATTTACGCTTATTGTACTAAATTGTATAGATTGTGTAATTCAAATAAAGGAAAAAAAAAATAATTTCCTTCTAGTGGATCGTCATTCTAAATATTATGCAGTTTATACATTTTCAATGGACCTACCCACTTATTTAGTTGGTTGTACACCCAAATTATAGCAACGAATGGAGTAGCCGCGGTAATGATGTTGACGAACTTTGAAAAATTTTCCCGTATATCGTATATTATTCCCTCACCTCAAGTCCTATACTCAATCCTAAATTATGAGTTATATATTATATAGATTCGTTTTACTGTTCATTGATTCTGAATTAATTGTATTCCAATTTGGCCATTTTTAGAAACAAATATAATATATTAATATATTTCCCTCAATTTAAGTCATTTTAACATTTGAAATTCAATAATAATTTCTTACATTATTGAGCATTTTTATAAGGTTTACCTATATTTATTATGATGTATTGAAGCCAGTGGATTTTCACGTTTTTATGATTATTGACTCAATCACACAAGACATAACCATTATAATATTATACGTATTAAATTATCGAATTTAACGCTACATCGAATATTTAATTGCTAGTCAATAACATATTATTTTATTATCACCTGTATGATGGTACCTATGTCCGGACGAGCAATGAAAACGATTATAGATAAACGTTGATTGATTGATGTGTTTTAAATTAATCTACCGTTTAACGATGACTATATAGTATATAATATTTATATAATTGCGATTACGACGTTTGTTATTTACTGATAATAAATTAAAATAAATCAATTATTAGGCAGTTATTTTTTTACAGTTTTCGGATCGTATTAACGTTTTGTTTCGTTGTTTGGTATTACGTTTTGTTAAATGACCCTCGCGCCATTTAAAAGGGGGAGATATTTGACGAGCAGTTTTGACACTTTTATAGCTCAGAACTAATCTAAAGTGTGACGACATTTTTTACACATTTTTTTATAGGTGTGGTGCGCGCGGTTGGCCAGCGCTGTGACGTCTCGCCGGTGGTTCGTCGACCAGGTGCTGATCCCTGGCATGCTCGTGTACCGTGCCAAGGGGCGAGCGGCCATCGCAGCGGAGAAGAGGAGGAAATCATCAGCCGTGGGGGGCCGTGACAGTCGGCAGGAGACGTCTCGACGACGGCAGGACAAAATTAGGACGACATAAATACATCGTCGGCATCATCGTCGCCGTCGTCGTCGTAAACAACATCCTGATGTAGCGGCAAACAATAGGGCCGATCAGTGGTAGCTGTTTCTGAGGGTTATGGCACACTGACGTGGAGGTCAACCAACAGCAGCGGCAGGAGACGGAGGCGGTGGAGGATTATAGATCTCTGTATACATTGAATATTATACAAATTCCCATAGACACTTGACGGCATAATATAATATAGGCTTAGTAGGTTTTCTTCAGTTCACAGGTAGTATCTCGGGTTGGTGGTGGTGGTCCACAAAATGTGTTAGATTTTTTTTTTTTAATTTCAGGTTCCAAAATATGTAACTCTTACCCCTCAAAAATAATTATAACTACATTTCATACTTTTAATAATCACTTTAGGTATTATAATTTATATTGTATAATTGACTTTCAAATAATCTTGTGGATTCACTCCCCACCAAAAATAAATTTATCTTGTTTTCCGCATATTTTTATTATATACACGATACTTATTCTCATATTATATTATACATTTTTTAATCGGCAATTTATAGTGTTGCTCGCTTTTTAAACTATTTTTATTAAAATATCTTGAAATACTTAATATTGTCATTGTTTTTTTTTTTTACGAATATTGATATAATTTTAATAAATCACTAGTACTGCACTGTCAATTTATTTTGCACGCGTACTTAACACGCATATAATATACTATCATTATGTATCTATTTAATGTTTAAATCAATTTATCGAGTTATTATGTGCACTGTTTTAATTGTTTCAAATTCATATTATTTCTAATTCTACATCACTTTACTCTTCTTATATTATTTCACACAAATATTGTATTTATCTTCAATTATACTTATTATCTGAAACATTTCTGTGTTGCGTTGTCGTTTGTTATTTTTAAACACCCTCAATCTGTGTTGGCCGTATTGTTTTATGGTCGCAAAATAATATGACACCAATAGGGTACTGAATACTAAACAATATATGAAAACATATGTGAAGAACTCGCGATTAAGACGATGTGACGGCTAATGGTGGTAATGGTGATGATGATGATGATGATGATGATGATGATGATGATGATGATAATATTTACCAACACCGGATGTGCCTACGTGCTCGTATATTGTAAGTAGTTAATGGTTGAATATTATCATTTATACTTAAATCATAATATTTGTAGACTACGGTTATAATATCATTGTCGATATAGCAACGCACGAGCATAAGTGCACGTATACCTACAGTAGGTTTCTTATCGAAATTTGTATACAGTTATACAGTCTATAGTATATATTATACGTATAAGTCAATATTTGTATAAAACAAAATACTGCTGCTCGCAAGCAGCAAAATGTTTCCGACAAATATTGTAGTAGGTATTATCAATATTGTGCGATGGCATGAGAATATGAGAATAAATAATTATATTCGAAATAATAATAATAATACACGTTATTTTTGGTTTCAAAATAAATAAATAAATATTAATAGGAGTTATGTGTAGGTAATACTACCTACGAACTTAACAACAAATAAAACAAGTTTACTCGTTTGTTCGGATATTTTATTCATTGATGGCATAATAATGTTTTTGGTAGTATACTTATAATATATAAGGCGTAAAAGAAGAATTCGGTTTCTAAACCTGTTTTTCTAATAAAATAGACATGTTTAATGGTTTTTAATATTTACCATCTATTCTATAGTAATTGGATAAAGCTTCTGAAAACCATGTTTGAACTCGTTAAGAAGTTAAATTCAAAACAACTTTTCCACTTTTTTGAAATGTAACTTTTAAACTCATAAAAAGCCTAAATAATATTGAATTAAAATATTAATTTAAAAATGCAAGGAAATCGACTTAAATTAAATTCGTAAGCTTCATACAGAATTCAAATATATTTTCATAAATAATTTTACATAGCTAGATTGATTCATACAATTAGCCAAAAATTGATACTTTTTGACAGCAAAAAAAAAACGAACAAAATAATTAACAAATATTCGTGAAGAGCCGATATTGACATTAGTGCAAGTACGTGAGCATTATAGGTAAAATCATGCACACTAATGATCGCTTACATCGCACATATTTACACGACCCTCGAACATGCACTTAGAAGAAAATTGCATATCTTGAAATCCTTCAAAAAGTTGCTATTATATCCCCTTAAAAAGTGCGTGTTGCAATAGTGCGCGTGGATGGAGTGAAACTTCTTTACAAAGTGCATGGAAAAAAGGTTATCGCCCATCACGGTCAAATATTAAGTTAGTAGGTATTAAAAAGTAAAAATTTAATTTTCAATTGAAATTAATTTATTATTATTATTATACAAAGATAAAACAAATTGATTATTATTAATTACTATAGAAACCTTAGTGTCAAGTAAGCCACGACCGTAACGCTTTTCAGTCCAACTGATGAGCCCATGAATACGACTTAAGCTACCGCGCCCAATGAAAATGTACTTCCAAAATTATTTAATTATACTCATATATTATTGGTATTAATAGGTACTGAAAAGTATTATATAATTAAACTATCTAAAAGTCAATTAAAATAAGTATAAGGTTGGGAAAGTTCACTAATTTTTTTAACTCGTTAAGTTAAGTTAATGTAGACAAATTTAAGTCAAGTTTACAAATTTAAAGTTAAAAGTTTCTTTCCTTTTTTACATAACTCGTTAAAGGTTAAAAGTTACTTTGAAAAAAAAAGTAGGTAACCTAAATTAGTTAAAAATAAGTTACTTTTTTTCATGTAAAATTAATTATTATGCCTTTTCATTAAAGCTTAACAAATAACATAATATAGGAGGTCTGACTATTTAAAAATATATATATAATGTGTTTATTACAGTAGTTACAGGTACTTACATACTTCAATAAATTTAAAAATTCAACAAAACAAAAAAATTATTTTAATGAATTGTTGTTAGTTACAAATTATTTACTAGTAAATCTTTGCATACATTTTATGGGTAGATAAATGTACTTATTAGTTATTACTTTATTTTAATACCTATTGAAATCTCAAATACAGAAATAATTCAAAACACTTGTCACAGTTTACAATTTACAACTTAGTAAGAATACAGGGTAAAATAAGGAATAACATAAGAATTATTTGATTTTTCAGGTGATTATTTGTTTACATATATAAAAATCAAAATATAATTTTAAATATATGGATTTTAAATAAGGAAAAATAAATTCATTAAAGTATCTTTAAAAAAACGAACTCGTTAAGTTAGAAGTTAGAAAGTAACTAGTTAAGTACCTAACTTAACTTAAACTTTTTAACTAGCTAATGCTCAGTCTTGAAAATAACTACCTATTAAATATAATGAACAAATGTTGTACAATCGTGGAATATTTGGAAAATCCACAATTGGTACCTTATAATTTTTTATGGTGAATTAAATATTATGTTTTCATTTATTTTTTAATTTACTTTTTTTGATTATATACGTACATTACATTTTGGTGGGCCCCAAGGACTTCCTAAATTCTTAATCCAAACATGGCCGGGAGTCTGTGTGCAATATAGTGTTGTACAAAATTCATAGCCCCTTAATAATTTAAAATAACTGCGCCTAAGTTCATGGATATTCTATAATGACCCGTTTCATACTAAATTCGATGGTCTAAGTCTCTGGGATATGTAACGAAGATTAAATTCCTATTTGGAAATCAACTTTTTTTCTGAACATTCATATTGCTTTATACTCCCAGAATATGGAATCTTTAGTCTTGTGGAAGATTAAAAATTCCAAATTGGTGTAGAGAAGGTACGTTTTTAAATTGTACCTAATTACTAACGTTCTTTAGCGTCTACCGACCATTTTACATTCTATATTACAAAATAATAAGGCGAATATGTATTATTATTTATCAATAATATAATTCTTGGTGTGATGTATTAAAAAACCACGATTATCTATATTAGCAATTTCAGTGTTCGGGACTTATGAAAAAATTAAATATTTTCCTTTACATTTTTAAAGTCTGAGAAAACTGCTTATGAATTACGATTCACATCATATAATCTTCAAGTTTCTCCTAGGTATACAAACAACGGACTCCAAAAAAATATTCGAAGTACGTATCATAAAGCCAAATTCACTTCCACATTCATAAGTTAAAACAAAATTTTTAAATTTATACCACTTATTAGTTATTGTTTATCATAATTTAACTAGAATTACATTTAAAATTTAAAATTTTCTAAACAAAAACTAAAATATTTATGTATTGCTTATCTGAGATTAGTTTTTGACCATACCAATAAAATATAATTGTAAATGAGGAAAACGAACTTTGTCAAAATATTAAATGCTGCACTAGTTGTAGAACAATATTAAAATTAAGTTATGAAAAATAAAATTACTATTTGGTGATTAATATTACTTTATATTATTATGATTGTTATGAATTGTAATAATCATATTAAAAATATATTCGGACAACTTATACATTACATATAGGTACTATAAACCTAATTATATAAAATGTATGTTTTATATTTACAGTTGCAGATGGAAAAAAAAACATGAAGACCTCTATTAATGATGAATATTGACCTCTAATATTATCTTTTGATTTATAATTTTACAATTTCCGTTTGATATGATATCGGTACCTATTAATAATAAATAATAATAATAAAGTTCCCGAACAGGAATTTAATAGTTTTTATTCTTCTGCAGATTATTGCTTACGTGCATAATTTTAATATAATTTTGGTGAGTACGAAAATATATATTTAATGTATATTATTGATAATAATATACAAAATAATAAAGTATGTTTGAAAATTATAAATAAGCACCAATTAATGATGTTAAGATTATAATATGTTGTATAATATAAACTATACAATTTACTGATTGACTGTTATAACATTTGTACTTCAAAGGCTTAAAAAATAAATCATTGGTACCTATATGCATTTTTAATATTTTTAAATGTTGACAGTTAATAACGTTGTATGAGAAATCTTATATTGAATTTTCACACTTTTTGACCAAGTAAAAATTTTACTATCGATATTCAAAGAAAAAACCAAAAAATAAAATAAAATATTACAAATGTCTATAGGTAATAAGCTCAAAAACAGCCAAAGTAATTTAAAATTATATCATATATAGAAAATTATATTATAAATATTTGGTGACAATTTCAAATGTCTGCGATTATTTGTATTCAAACAAAATAAGAAAATCGTTTAATGAGGAATCGTTTGTTTAACGAGAAAATCCTATTTTGTCAACATTTTGATTTAAGATGCAATTAAAAAATATTTGTGAAATTTCACTTAACTTTTGTTTTTAAATCCAGTAATAACAACTTAGAAAAAATCTTGTATTAAATGTTCAAATCTATGGTATGAGTATTAAAAATTGTAAAAACTTTTAATTACAAAATAATTTGCATATTTTCGGAATTTCGAGAACTCGTTAAAATTCTAAATTTAAATGCTAATAAAAAAACATAATTTGTTCCATAGATATATGATTATATAAACAACATATAAACAACATATGGAGAATCTTATTAATCGACATCATATATAAAAAAAAACCAAAATGT